GTCTTCTGTCGATGGGCATATGAGTGTCAGACATATATTAACACAAATATTTGAACAGGCAGCTCACCAAAATGAGTACTTTATAATGAACAATACACTTCATGAACATATGAGTGTCAGACATATGTCTGTATTCTGTGGACGAACAAGTCCAAATTTGACAAAAAAGGGATTGTCAGTAACGCACTAGTTAGGTGCGTTAATGAAACAATCACAACAAACAAGGTACAGCATAATTTCTATCGATCATTTAATTTTTACCAACCTTGCAGTATTAATTTTCGCAAAACATTTCACTTTCCGTAAAGGTAGAGTTTCGTCAAAAATGTCCTACTTGATAAAATTATGAAATAAAGCTTAAAGTTTTTTTTTATAAAAGCAAATTACATACCATTAGAAAACTCACACACTAGGGATGTTTTGCTAGAATCGGAACTCCTCAATCATTATTTGTTTTTTTTTAACTCTTTCAGTCTTGGTGGTCACTGTAACTAACCACCTTTTCTTAGAAATTCAATTTTTAAAGTATGCTCCAAATTACTTTGCATTGGTTTTTAAGCATTTCAGTATAATTGAATAAAATATATTCGTAACCAGTTAAAAGTGTGACTGAAAAAGTTAATGCAAGTTAAAATTAAGATTTCAGTATTTTTTACATTTTTCTGTAAGTTTGAGGGACTCATAACTTATTTTCTAGCTAACATCTGAATAAAGCAATAATAGAAGATATAAGAATCTGTCATAAAAAAATAAAAAATAACTAAATATGGCCTGTTTTACCCATTTTTAATAAAAATTACACTTTAAAGTTAAGAAAGTGGTGAAACAAGAAGAAAGAAAAAAAAATCATTCATAAATATCCAGTGGGCCAGGGCCAAATAAATTAGGGCTGAGTAAGTAGCAGATGACCCCACCTATCTACTATTTTCGTATATTCAACGTTCTGCCAAACACCCTGTATATTAACACATGTATATGAACAGAAAGCTCATCAAATTGAACACTTTAAAATGAACAATACTCTTCCGTCAATGGACATGTGAGTGTCACACATATACATATGTTATAGTTACTTAGGCATTATTTACGCCTTGTTATGTAAAAAGCCTTTAAAATAATATGATAGCAAAGTTTTATCATTAGAAAATATAACAGATCTACTCAAGAAAAATAATTAAAAAATATTAATCTTTATTAAATCGAAGACGTAATCGATCTAGCTGTAAGCTACTTCAGAATGTAATTAAATTAAAACGTTTGGTATACCAACATAAATATAAAAAAGTCTTACTTTTGATCGTCAAAATACGTAAATCAGAATTAGGAATTGGATATTACAATAATTATATCATGTAGGAAAGGGTATAGAGTATACAAGGTTGGCCACTTACTGTAGTAACACCAACATGATCAGGATCCAGGAACTGCATCTTCAGTGATATATTCCAAAGATGACCACGACATAACTTGGCAATGCTATGCCTTTTTCCACTTTCACTCACAAGATTTTTCCCACGCGACGGAGCCATTATGAAGCAGACGGCAAACTCGCACCCATAAATATAACTTTATTTTACCACTCAGATATGGTGCTATATGGTTAAACGCTGAAGTACGACTGACTTCGAACACGGCGAAGATTGCTTTATATAGTAACCCAGCGACCAATGACTGTAGGGCAACTGATCCCAATGTTCAAAAAAGGACCATTGTAATAGTACTTAGCAACAAAAGGTTATTGTCAAATTTACATTGTGTAAGACACAATGGTCTTGTTTCGGAGATCGTTATCTACATTGACAACGAAGTCTGAGGAAAAGACCATGCCTCAACAATAGCACACGGTTTTTTGTTTTAAAATCGGTTCTTTTGTTATTATATGTATTAGCTTAATACTGAAATGTGAACCATGTGGTATTAAAACAAATGACAGTAATAGGACTTATCGTGTTAATTTTTTTTGAAGTAAAATGATAATTATTTATAAATTATTGCTTCTGCCCGTAACTTCGTATGCGCGATGCCGTATATTCCCGTTCCCGTAAGATTTTCAGAAGTTTTTCTGTTTTAAGATCCTTCTCCTAATAATAAAAAATCCAACAAAAAAAAAGAATTAGTGGAATCGGTCCAGCCATTCACGCGTAATACCGTGACCAAGGGAAAAAGGGATTCATTTATATATATATATACAACATATATATAGATAGATAGATGTAGCTGATACCCGCAGGGTTTTCCCCGCTCTGCTCAGCTCCTATTGATCGTATTGTGGTATTCTATATCTTATAGGCTTCCTTGATAAGTGGACTATCTAACACTAGAAGATTTTTTCAAATCGAACCGTTAGGTCCAAATATTAATGCGATCCAGCAAATAAACAAATTCATTAGCTCTACATAATAAGTTATAAGATATAAGATTAGCATTAGTGGGCACGTGGTATTTTTTTAAACATCAAACACAAGCCGTATGGTGACAGCAGAGTAGGATGTATTTGTTTTTATAGGATAAGTCGGTGAACGGGCTGACGGATCACCTGATGGTAAGTAATCGGCGTCGCACATGGACACCTGGAACACTAGAGACTTGATTGCACGGTTGGTGCGGTGGCTGGGCAACCGGCTGCCGTGCAACGTGTCGCGGGTTCGATTCCCGCACGGAACAATACTTTGTGTGATCCACAAATTGTTGTTCCGGGTCTGGGTGTCATGTGTATGTGAACTTGTATGTTTGTAAACGCACCCACGACACAGGAGAAAATCCTAGTGTGACGAACGACGTTACAAATGCGTAACGGGTCTTTTGGGAGTTAAAAATTTGAGTATTGTTGGGGATTCAGGGATTGGGAAGATTGGGGAACGGGGTGCGGATAATTGAGCGTCCGGTAACCTCACTCACACGAACATGTGGTTGGGTGTGTGTGTGTTTTTTTTTTGCCTGTTCGTGTTTAAGTTCGACATCGATGCCAAACAGTCGCGAACACAAAAACACACATCAAAGGCTGCTCGGCAAACAGTTTGCTTGTTGCAGATATTTGGGACTATGTTTATTGTCTCTGTTATTGATGACAAACAGCGTTTTGACTGAGCATCTTATTTAATTTACTCGTATGAAGAGAAATAGATTCCCATGACAAAATAAGCTCCATTAAAAGATATTTCTCGTTTCAGTCTTATTTATGAAATTAGTATATCGGATACACATTTGACGTCGCTAAAGAGATAATGCCATAATGTATCATAACTGAGTTTAGGCCCATTGTTAATACTGATAACGATAACGGGAAATTACCATTGTATTGTCAGTGGCCATTGCAACGGTACCATAACATAAT